GTGATGCAGTGCCGGGGTCGATGCTCCCAGGAGCTGCTCCCTGTGAGGAGCTGACATGGTTAAACTCAGTGTTAGATCTGGCACAGCCAGGTTAGACCAGGAAAACCTAAAACTGGGTGAGATCAGCCCGGGGCCAAAGGAACCCCCTGGTTAAACGCTGCAGGAAGGGCCAGTCCCCGTTCCCAGAGCCCCTCTGCCCATGTCCATGTCCCCTCACCTTTCCTCTGCTCTCCAGGCCATGGATTCTCCCTATGCCAACGGAGCCTACAGCCCCCCGTACCCGCACTACCCCAGCCTGCCCCAGGCACGGGGGTTCTACTGCTCGGGGCCCCCCCGGACCCCCTACCCCCCGGAGCCCACGGGCCTGTACCGGCCTCCATCGCCCGCTCCCGCCTGGAGCTACGTGTCCCCGGAGTGTCCCGCCGAGGGCTCCGCGCTCCGCAGGCAGCAGGTCCCTGGCTACTCCCCACCACAGGTAAGGGACGGTCTCCAGCCCCGAGGTTGGTGTGTGCGGTTCGTGGGATGGTTTTTGGGGGCTGTGGCGGGGGATGTCCAACCTGAACCTCCCCTGGGACAGCTTGAGGCCGTTTCCTCTCGTCCTGTCTCTTGTTCCCTGGGAGCAGAGCCCGACCCCCCCGGCTCCACCCTTGAGCTCCCAGGGCTGTGTGGAGGGAGCAGTGCTGGGAGTGACCCCGGTGGTATCACCTGTTCCCCCTCTCTTTGCAGACCCCGGGAATGCCGATCCCGCAGTATCCGTACGGAGACAGCAGTGCAGGGGTCACGGCCCAGGGGCCTGTGCCACAGCCCAGAGCCCCAGAGGACACGTGGGGCCCCCCCTCAGTGTATGGGGTGCAGCCACGTTACGCCTGGCCCGCGGCCCCGGGGCACGGGAACCTGTACGTGTCCGACTCACACCCCTCCTGGACCAACAGCGGGGCTCCTTCCCACCCTCCCGCCTGGGACTCACAGGTACAGGGACCTCTTTGCAGACAGGAGACCAAAATCCACAGTTGTGGTTCCGTAAAGTACCGGAGGTACCAGACATCCTGGGGCGGGTCTTGAAATGGGTCAGACCTTGTCTGGCTTGTCCGAGAGCAGCAAAATCAGAAATTGTCCAGCAGGGAGCGTGGGACTGACCTGTGGGACAGGTGTTCAGCTGCAGGTGCTTGTTTTGGGCACAGCCATCCCCTGATGAGGAGGGGCTTAACTAAAAATCGGAAGGAAAATGTCTGTTCATTCGGCTTGGTCTGGGTTCGATCAGGAGCCAAGTGACTCTCCAGAGGTTTGATCCCTGGGGAGCAGGAGCCCTGAGGGGGATTTGGGGATGGGGGCTGCTGTTGCTTGGGAACAGCTCCAGAGTGTGTTGCCTGTGGAGAAGGATCTTCTGAAGGTCCACCCAAACGGGACCGTGCTGAAATCTGTTCAGCATCTCCCCCATCCCTGGGTAATGAGGGTTCTGCTCCGGTTGGGGTTCTACTTGCTGGGGTTCTGCTCCAGCAGTGCAGATCCCCGTGCCCAGTTTCCCCAGCCCTGCCCACACGTGGTGCAGAAACCCCCGGGTTTAAGGGAGATGCTCTTATGGGTGTTTTCTCCCTCCGACTGCAGGACTCTGCCTACGACAGACCCGAGCAGAGCCCGAGCCAACACAGCTACTACCCCGAGGTGACCCAGCAGCCCTCGGGGCCAGCGGGGGAGCCCAGGCCGGCCCAGCCCCGGGTGCAGTACAGTGCCCAGCCCCAGGTGCAGTACAGTGCCCAGCCCCGGGTGCAGTACAGTGCCCAGCCCCAGATGTACGACCTCACCCCACGCCGGCGGGAGCCCGGAGCCAAAGCTGCCGACCCACCTCCTGCAAACCCCACAGCCATCCAGCCCGAGATCCAGAGGATCCTCCACGTCATGGGGCAGGCCGAGCAGCTGGAGGAAGAGGTGGATGAGTTTGTAGGGAAAAAGACAGATAAATCCTACCGGCTCCTGGAGGAGATGTTGACCAAGCTGCTGCTGGAGCTGGATTCCATCGAGACTGGGGGCCAGGACAGTGTCCGGCAGGCCAGGAAAGAGTCCGTCCACAGAATTCAGGCCATACTGGAAAAACTGGAAAGAAAGGGATTGTGAAAGCACATCAGCCACAACACACGGCCTGTTGTTGAGGTTCCAAAGAGTTTCAGCTCTCTTAAATCTCAGCTCTTTCTGCTACGCACTACTGACAATGGAAAATAGCAATAAGCCCTGAGTTAACAATCAAAACAAACCCACAAAAAAGCCACCCCAGAAGCCCAGCCCTGACAGACAGCTTGGCAAAGGACAAATTGAGAGAGGTTTGAAGAAGCAAACGTCATTAATGAAGATGTTGAAGAGGACTGGGCTGAGGATGGAGCCCTGTGGGGCTGTGTACAGAATTCCCCAGACCAGGCCCAATCTCTGGGTGCCTCCTGCAGCCACAGATGGTCTTTAAACACTTGCCAGATGTGCTGCAACGTGCAGCCACCAACCAAGACTCAGGGCTTGTCCTCACTGCCTGTGTTTTCAGCTTCAGCTCCCTCACCATAAAGCCCGTGTGTCCTCGTGGGGGTTGTTTGGCTTTAGTGCACTCAAGGAGTGACGCTGAAGTGCAGGAGGGGGGCACTGTGCTGGCACATCACGTCGGACTGTTCCTCCTCTGAGGTGAAAAGCCAGTCTGGAGTGTCCCTGTGGACACAGGAACACAGACTGGAAATCCCAGTTCTGCCACTGGAAAGGAGAGGTGCAGGCAGAGGAATGATGTCAGAACAGATGCAGGGGGTTTGGAAGTGATTTCCAGGTCACTTGGGTAAAAATCCCGTTTAATGTCCCTCTCATCCTGTGAGTTTTGTGTCCCACTGCACAGCGGGGAGGGAACAGCTCAGCCTGTTTCAGCCTCCTGGTTACAACGTGCTCAGTGACTCATTGCTGTGTGTGACACTTAATAAACCCTGACAAGTTTTAAATGTTATTTTGTAACTGAGACGTCTCAAAGTCTCTTTTTCTTTAAAGAGAAGTGGTGGGGATGGTTGTGTAACTCAGACCAAAACTCCAGCCGGGCTGTCTGGGTGCCCAGGACAGGGGTGAATGGAACATCTGAGAGCACTGCTCTGGGGGTGTCAGCATGTCCTATCACCTCCCAGGCAGTGCAGATGCTCCAGGAGCCTCCAGCTGTGGCTACAGGAGCAGTGGCCAAATTTTGGAAGGGGTTTTGGCATCCCTGAGGCCAGGAGTGCCCTGACCATGCACTCTGAGGGGCTGACAGCCAGCTGATGTCCTGGAGGCACCCAGCAGATCCCACATTCCCAGACAGAGCTGCGGGCATGGCACTGACCTTTGGAGCTCGCTGGATGTGTCTGGGATCACACGTGGTCAGCCTGCACACCCAGCCCTGTCTGGGGTGAGCCGGGAGGGAGCTGGGACAGGGAAAGACTCAGCTGCTGTTTCATTTTGTCCCGTCAGGAGTGAGCAGCCAGGCTGAGCTATTCCATGCTTGCAGCCTGTTATCTGCCTGTGGCTGTTAATCATGGGATGGTTTGGGTTGGAAAGGACTTCAAAGCTCATCTAGTTGCAACCCCTCTGTTATGGGCAGAGACACCTTCCACTAGAGCAGGATGTCTCTGAGCCCCATCCAACCTGGCCTTGGACACTCCCAGGGATGGGGCAGCCACAGCTTCTCTGGGCAGCCTGTGCCAGGGCCTCTCCACTCTGACAGGGAAAAATTTTTTCATACTATTCAATCTAAACCTGCTCTCTCTGTGTTTGAAACCATTCCCCCATGTCCTGGGCAGCCAGCAGCAGTCAGCCTAAAATCCCTGGAGCTGGCTGAAACCGTTTTCTGTGTTTGTTTCAGTAGCACGAACCACATCAGGAACAACCCCGCATTGTTTATCACCTCCTGTTTGCTCCAATCCCCATTTCCCTCCTCTCCGTTGCCAGGGAGAGGAGGCAGGTAGATCCCAGCTGTGTGAGGAGGAGTGTGGAGCAATGCTGGTGCCTCGCACTCAGCACTGCAATGCAGGGAGCCAGGAGAGAGGGACATGCTGTGCAGGTGGCTGCTGTGTCCCCAGCACTCTGGGGACAGGACAAAGGTCCCTGTGCTGTGGTGACCTGCTAAGAACAGGGTGAGAAGAACTGAACTGCAGGAACGTGCGTGGCATCCAAACCAGGGAAAACCTGGAGGAAAGAGGAAGCTGTTTTGGTGCTGAACCCATCCAGGTAACGTATTCCTGAACAATGTTTCCTGTTCCTGCCTCCTTGGCAGAGGGTTATGTAAATCCCTAGTGAAAAGCACAGGAGGGAACGTTAAGTGGGCTGGAAGAGCAGGTTATCATTGCAGGGGATTTGAACAGCTC